CGGCCAACGCTTACCTCTCGGTCTACACCCGTTCACTCCTCCTCAACCGTGCCCGCGCCCTCTACACCTCGTTGTACGGCGACGAGCCCGGAGCACCTGTCCGCGCCGCACCGTCGGCCGCAGCCTCGGTCCCGCCGCTCCCGGCCCCGCTCGTCGGCCTGCAGCCTGACGCGGTTTCGCACAAGCTCCTCGTCGCCATGTACGTCGCTGCCCGCCGTGCAGACGACGCTCACGAGATCGGCAAGGCGCTTCTGGACGCCGCTGCCGCCGACTCGTCCGCACCGCGCCCGGCCTACGAGACCCTCACTGCCGTCGTCCACGCCCTCGCCAAGGCCAAGCGCCTTGACGACGGTGTCGCCTTTGCCGAGCGCATTGCCGCCTCGGGCTACACCCTCCACCTCCGCCACGTCCGCTCGCTCAACAGCGCTCTCAACCACGCCCAGGACGGTGCTGCCCTTGCCCGTCTCCATGCCATCTGCGCCACTCCGGACCCTATCCGTGGCTAACCCCCCCTCCTCCTTCCTCCCCTCCCCGCATCCCCGCTCTGTTCATCCACGTGAATTCTGCCGAAGAAAAAATTGTATTCCCAACCCATTGATACCATTGATACTCGTTGTTGCAGATGCGCCTGAGTACCGTTGCCACGCACACCGCACCGCACCACGACCCCCCCCCCCCCCCAATACACACCAACCACCGACCCCCGACCATCAAAACCACCTCTCTCATTCCCACATCTCTTCCTCTCCCTTCAACCCACCACACCTGCCATGTCCGCAGTAAGCCCCCCCCCCCCCCTCCCCTCGCAGAAGGGCAAACGCAAGCTTCCATCGATTCCACCGAACCTGAGGCAAGATGAAGGACGACCGAAAGAGAATGAGGACAATGTGCTGAGGGAGAGAGTGAGTCAGCTGGAGGCCATGGTGGTCGAGCGCGATGAACGCATTGCTCTGCTGGAGCGTGTTCTACGTGATGCTGGGGTGGGAGATAAGGTGGCTGAGGCGAGTCAAGCTGCTGCTGCTGCTGCTGCTGCTACAACTACTACTACTGCTGCTGCTGCTGGTGGTGCTGGTCTACTGACTCTGCATCCGCTTCGAGTGGCGGCAACGGCGGCTTCGCCAAAGCGGACAAGGGTGCTCTCGCTTAGCTCGGCGTCGGCGGCAGCGGCAACTACGGCATTTGCTGCGGCGGCCGATGAGGATCTGGACGATGCCACGCGGGTGGCTGGCTGGCTCGACGATCACGGATGGGCCGAGTTGGGCGAGAAGCTGGCGGGCATGACATGGAACGAGCTGCTGCGAGCCGACGACGAGACGCTCCGCGGGCGCGGGATCGATGACAACGAGCTGGTCGAGTCCATGGTCGCTGCCATCGGAGTTCTCAACCGGCATGGGGTCGACTTTGACGGCGTCACTGTCGCTCACGCCGGCTACCTCAAGATTGGATCAGCATCGGGCGGGTGGGCCGAGCGATACTGTGTGGTGGCCGGCGGCGTCTTCCACGTCCTCCACGTCAAGGGCGGGTCGACCAAGGCCTCGCACGTGGTCATCTCGCGGACAGTGGGGCGGCGCGGATATCCGTTCCATGCCCCGCGGCCGTTCACCTTTTACCTTGCCAAGCCTATGACGGACACCATCTGGCTGCAAGCCGCGTCCGAGGCGCAGCTGGAGCGGTGGACCGAGGTGCTTGTGGAGAGCGGATGCGAGGTCGATCCGGACGAGCCAAAGAACGACGTGCCGAGTCAACTCGGCGATCCGGTGCTCGCAGGCTACCTCGAGCGGCGGATGAGCAAAAAGTCGTGGGAGCCGCAGTACTGCGTCCTCCATGACTGCGTGGTCTACATCTACTGCTCCGAGTTTGGCCACTTGCTGGAGTCGTTTGTGGCGCTCGGCTGGTCGGTCGGGGTTGGGGCCAAGGCCAAGCGCGACCACACGTTCTTCATCGCGCACAAGAACCAGCCGACGTACTGGCTGCAGGCGCCAAGCGCCGCCGAGCGCGACGCCTGGGTCACCGCCCTCCTGGACACGGCCTCGTGCACAGAGGCAACCAAACCGCCGGTCGCGGTCCGCGCCAAGGCGACCAAGCTCAAGGCCAGCGGCAAGAAGAAGCGCAAATTCTCGCTCTTTTCCAAGCGCAAGGCCCGCCGCGCCAAGGCGGTGCGCTCGGACACCGGCGCTGCCCTCGTCCCAATCTCGGAGCGGCCATCGTACGACTGGCCCAGCCTCGAGGCGCTCGTTGGGCCGACGCTCGAGGCACTGACGCTGACGGTGAACCACGCAAAGGCCACCTCGGCGCTCCTCGCCACCCATGATGAGGATTCAGACGAGCATCGTGAGACCAAGGCGGCGCTCGACTCGGCCGAGCTCCTCACCAATCAGCTCACCGACCAGATGCGGTGGCTCGAGCGCGAACTCGGCCGCGAGCCGGCGGTTCTGCCCTCGCTCAAGCTCCTTTGGGTCACCGCCCTCTACGACTACGACGCCGTCGACAGCGAGGAGCTCTCGTTCAAGGCCGGCGACCGCATGTCGGTTGTTGACCTCGAGGCCGATCCCGAATGGTACTCGGTCAAGCTCGGCGACTCGACCGGCCTCGTTCCCATCACCTATGTCGAGCTCGTCGAGGACACGTCGATCAGCCATGCACCCGACGTCGCTGCCGAGCCCGAGGTTGTCGCCGCCGCCGCCGCCGCCCTTGCCGCTCTTGACCTGCTCTCCTCGGATAGTGACGACGACGAGGGTGGCAGCGGAGGAGTCGACGAGGCTCAGACCGAGGAACACGGCCAAGTCGATGCCCAGCCTGTCAGTGACGGCAACAACCAGGCCGATGCCGATGCCGCGGAAGAGGCCGAGGGAGAGGAAGAGAGAGAGGCCGAGGCAGACGAGGGGGCCGAGGGGGCCGAGGCGGGGCTGGAGACCGTCGCTGAGACTGTCGCTGAGAACGGCAATGAGGCCGACGACGGTGGCGACGACGGCGACGACGGTGAATATAACAGCGAAGACGGCGACGAGGTGTACCCAGCCGTGGCTCTCTACCCGTATGCCGGCGACGACGAAGACGAGCTGCGGGTGGCCGAGGGAGAGCAGATCGAGGTTCTCGACAAGGATTCGGACCCGGACTGGTACTACGCCATGAACGCAGCTGGCGAGGAGGGCATTGTGCCGGCGGCGTACATCAAGATCCTTGCGAGTAGCAAGGGGTGAAGGGAGGTTGTTACTGCTGCGCAAAGCCGGTGATGCCCGCACCCTTGGCGTAGACGGCATCGGCGCCGAGCTCCTCCTCAATGCGAAGGAGCTGATTGTACTTTGCGGTGCGCTCGGAGCGGCATGGGGCGCCGGTCTTGATCTGGCCGGTGCCGAGGCCGACGACCAGATCGGCAATAAAGGTGTCCTCGGTCTCGCCGGAGCGGTGGGAGACCATGACACCCCAGCCGGCCTCGCGGGCCTTGTTGCAGGCGGCGATGGACTCAGTGACTGAGCCGATCTGGTTGACCTTGAGCAGGAGGCAGTTGCAAGCCTTGTCGGCGACGGCGGTGGCGATGCGATCGACGTTTGTGACGGTCAGGTCGTCGCCGACAACCTGGTAGGCGGCCCCGGCGGTCATGGCGCTCCACGAGGCCCAGTCGTCCTGGTCGAACGGGTCCTCGATCGAGACAATGGGGTACTCGGCGGCAAACTCGTTGTAGAGCGCACCGAGCTGGGCGCCGGTCAGCCACTCGGCCGGGTCCGACTCGGCGTTCTTAAAGTCGAGGTCGTACTTGCCGTCCTTGTAAAACTCCGAGGCGGCAACGTCCATGCCGATCTTGATAGCGCCGGTGTAGCCGGCAGCCTCGATGGCCGAGGTCAGGAGCTCGAGGCCTTCCTTGTTGTCGAGGATGTTGGGCGCAAAGCCGCCCTCGTCGCCGACGTTGGTGGCGTCGTGGCCGTACTTGGCCTTGATCACCTTGGCCAGGGCATGGTAGACCTCGGCACCCATGCGGAGCGCCTCGGAGAACGACGAGGCGCCGACAGGAAGGATCATAAACTCTTGCATGGCGAGCTTGTTGCCGGCGTGCGAGCCGCCGTTGATGACGTTGAACGCCGGGCACGGGAGCGTCACTGCCTCGTTGCCAGCAAGGTTGGCGATGTGGCGGTAGAGCGGGACGCCGCAGTGCGCAGCGCCGGCCTTGGCCACCGCCAGCGAGACGCCGAGGATAGCGTTGGCGCCGAGCTTGGCCTTGTTCGGCGTCCCGTCGAGCTCGAGGAGGAGGCCGTCAACCGCGCTCTGTGCACGGACATCGACCGCCGCCGAACCGACCAGCGCCGCAGCAATGTCGTTGTTGACGTTAGCCACGGCCTTGAGCACACCCTTGCCGCGGTACCGCGCCGCATCGCCATCGCGCAGCTCGAGCGCCTCGTACACGCCTGTCGACGCCCCAGACGGCACCGCCGCACGGAACGTCCCGGCCACAGTCGTCACCTCGACCTCCACCGTCGGGTTTCCGCGCGAGTCCAGGATCTCCCGCGCATGGATGCCATGCACAGTGTGGTCCGACGGCAGCAGCAGCTTGGCCTTCTTGCTGGCAGGCTCGCCTGTGCCAGGTTTTGGTGAGTGCGGGTGATGGGGGAGGGGGGGGGGGGGGAGGGGAAGGAGAGGAAGGCACGGGTACGGGCGTGGGCGGCGGCGTACCGACAGCAGGGGGAGCAGGGTGGGCGTTGGTGGCAGACATGGTGTGCAGAGAGAGTGTTGTTAGCTGGAAGCAGCTGGAAGAGGGGTGAGGGGGAGCGTAGTGGAGGTGGCACGACGTGGCGGTCGGTGCAGGTCGCGTTTGGCCCCGCACAAACCTGTGGTCGTGCCGCATGTCGCCGCAGCATGTCGCTCTACGCAGCACGTTGCTTTTGGGCGGCTTGACTGGTCAAGCTTTGGCCTGGCGGAGGTGGTGCTTGTATGAGGCGAGGATCCGAGTGAGCATGCGGACCTTGGTCTGGATGGTGACGATGAAGGCAGCTTGGTCGCGAAGCGCCGCCGCGATGGCACCGGTCACGTCGTGACCTGATTCGAGAGCGGGCTCGGAAGGAGGTTCCAGAACGAGCGCGGGTGCGGGATGAGGCGATGGTGGGAGGCTGGTTCCAGCACTGCGGCGCTTGGCGGGTCGCGCCTCGTCGTTGCTGCTGGCCTTGCTCTTGGCCGGACTGCGGCTGGCGGCGCGCGACGGCGACGGTGATCGATCGGCGCGCGTCCGCTTGCGCGCTGGAGTGTCTGGCGGCGCTGGCAGCGCAGGGGGATCAGGCGCAGTGTTTGGCTGGTCCGAGTGAACAATCAGAACTTCCTGCGAACCAAGGACTGGCGAGGCTTGTGAGCCAGCTTCCACCGAGTCAAGGGCAGCGTGCGGCGTGAGGGAGAGGGATGTCGGCAAAAGGTCGTCAGTGACGGCCTTTTTCGGCGGTGGTGACGAGGGTGCAGCTCGTGGCGAGAGTGGATCCTGGCCCGGAGAGGCGCCCTGGTTGAGAGTCCCGCTTGCCGAGCCCAATGTTGCACGACAAAGTGTAGGCGGTACGACTGGTGGCGGTGTGAAGGCGGCTGGCGCTTCAGGGTCGATGGAGGGTGGCGTGCTGCTGTCGCGCTCGCGCTCGCGATCGCGGTCACGATCGCCGGCGAGTTGATCAGTCGCGAGCGCGGGCTGCTGCTTTGATGGCGTAACCTCCGTAGCCTTGGCCTTGGAACGTGCCGATGCGCGTCGGGGAGGTGACGACGGGTACGCCTTTGTTCTGTTTGGCCCGACAAAGGCCTTGCGTCTGCGCGAGGTGACTCGGGGCATGATCGGTGGAAGGAGAAGGGTGTGGGGAACGTAAGGTGACAGGCGACGGGTGGTGGTGGTGGACGGCGAATGGTGGGCAGAGTTTGGCGCCAGACGACGGCGGCGGCGGGCGCAAGAGGCCAAGCGTGCGACCAAGTGTGCCAAAGCGGCAAGACTCCACACCAAGGCCACGACAAGACCAAACTACGCCACGCCAGCCATGAGCGCTGATCTGACCGACATGGTGGCCGAGGTGCTGGCGCTGCGGCTCCACACCGAGGGGTTGTGGGAGACGCAAGACCGACCAGCCGCTCGAGCGGCACACGGCAGTGGCGACGGCGACGGCGAGGCGAGCCAGGGGCTTGGCAAGGGGCCGGACGAGGTTTCTGATGGCGACGCAGGTGGAGGAGGACGGCCGATGCCGCTGACCCGCGAGGTGCTGGAGGAACGGATGGCCGAGTCGCAAACAAAGAAGACGGGGCGGCTGGACCTGGCGGCGGCTGGGCTGACAGCGGTCGGGCGCGAGCTCAGCGCTGCTGGCGAGCTGGGCGGTAGCGTGACGGCGCTCGACGTCTCGTGCAACTTTCTAGCCGAGCTCGGCAACTGGCTCCCGGCGTCGCTGACCTCGCTGGCAGCGCACGCCAACAACTTGGCCCATCTCGGCGGCATCGAGTCGTGCCGGGCGCTGAAGCGGCTGTCGCTGGCGTCCAACGGTATCCCGTCGCTGCATCCGCTTGGCTCGCTCGTCCACCTCAAGTGGCTCGACGTGGCCGGCAACGCGCTCAACTCGCTGCGTGGCATCGAGAAGGCGCGCGGGCTAGTCGAGCTCAACGCGGCCAGCAACGCTCTGACCTCGCTCGAGCCACTGGCCAAGGCAACAGCGCTGACCTCGCTCAACGTTGCTCGCAACGAGGTGGCGCATCTTGCGCCTATTGCCCATCTGAGCGGGCTGACCCAGCTCGACGTGTCGGGCAATGCCCAGCTCGGCGGCTCTCGCTGGCTCTCGGCGCTTGCCAAGCTGACGCAGCTGTCGAGCCTGGACGTGTCGGCGACAGGCATCGACACCCTCGCCCGGCTCCCACGGCTTCCTGCACTCTTGCAGCTTTCGGTGGCGGACAACCCGCTGGCCGACGTCGGGCCGCTGGCAAGCACGGCGCCTGTTCTGCAGTCGCTCGATGTGAGTGGATGCCAGATCGCGGCGACGAGCGCCTTTGCGCCACTTGCAACCGGCTGCCCGGAGCTGGTGGAGCTCGACGCCCGCGACACGCCTCTGTTTGTCGGCGAACCGTCGGCGATGCTCTTTGCCGAGATCATCACCCTCTTGCCCTCGCTGGAGTACGTGAATCTTATGGTGGCCGACTCGATTGCAGCGGCGGCAGCGGCAGCTCGCCCTCTGGCGCCGATCACTCGCGACGCAGGTGTCGGTCCCGAGCCCGTGGCGGTGGTAGCGCAAGAGGAACCGCTCTACGAGCTAAGCGAGGAGGAGATGGCGGCGCTCAAGGCCAAGTACAACATCAAGTCCGACTACATGCCGGGCTTCCAGGTCGACCCGATGGCCGCGCGGCGATTTGCGTTTCCGTCGGCCAGCCTCGGACTCTCGGACTCGCCACTGAAGGCGCCCGAGGCTCGAGCATCTGCGGAGGTTGTTGTGCTAGCAGAGCGTGCTGAGCCCGAAGAGTCTGGAGTGGCGAGCGGAACACGAGCCAAGAGCGCGGATGAGGACAACGGCAATGAGGTCGCGGCCGCAAGGCCCGAGATGGAGGCCGCCGACGCGCCGCCGCCCGACGCGGTGGCCGAGATGACAGCGCTCGAGACGCAGATGCTGCTGGACGACATGACTGTGTCGCTCGGCAACTTTGCGGCACGTTTCGACGACGTCGTCGCAGGCCTTCGAGTGGGCGACGTTGATCTACTCGCGCTCGAGGCGAGCGAAGCAGCAGCCCCGGTTGTGGCGCCGGCTCCGGTCCCGTCGCCGCCGCCACGACCGCGACCGACGTCGGCGGGACCTTCACCGCGGCGCGGGGGGCCGCGGGCACGACCGTCGTCTGCGCGACGGAGGCTAGAGAGGGCGATGGCGTACGCGCAAGCAGTGGGGGACGACAAGGCGAGTACGCACGGGCAGAGGAGCAGACCGAGCAGCGTAGCGCAGGCACTCGGCGGGCCTGCGTCAATGCCCAGGATTGTGCCCGCGCGCCGCGGGTCGAGCCGCGGACGCGGACGCGTGGGCGGGCGAGGGCGCGGGCGCGGGCGCGGGCGCGGGCGGGGCCCCACTGCCCGCCGCCGGACTGAGGTATTCCGGCCGAAATGGGCATGAGCAACTGTTCATTGAGTTTGGGGAGAGGGAAGCCCTACCGCATCGGCTCCAGGCTTTGCACGGAAGCGTCATTTCGCGGCGGTGTTGCATAGTCAAAACTCGAACGAGTCGTTGGGATTGTGTTGCGGAGAGTGGGCGTTGTCGTGGACGGACGGCAGGCTCCGCGGATGAGGCCGAAGTCGGCCGCGGACCGGCGAGCGTGAAGGGCTCGACGACGGATGGCGTCGGCGGACAACATCAGACGAGCTTATTGCGGCAGCATTGCCACTCGACGAGTCGGAGGCCAACGGATGGGCGGGGCTGGCGGCAAGGTCGGGGCTTGAGCCGTTCTGCCCGCCCCCGACAGGAAGCTCCGGCAGAGTAGTGAAGGTGGTGTAGGTGCCAAAGGTCATGTCATAACCGACAAGAGTGCGGGAGATGCGCTTGGTGGCGTCGTCACGCTCGCGAGTCAGCTCGACGATGTGCTTGCTCTGGACCTCGATGGCGTTTTCCAGCTCGCGGACCTTGCGGCGTAGCCGGACATTGGCCTCGCGCAGCCGACCCTCGACAGCACCGCCGACCCGCTCGGCCTCGAATGCGGCGGTGACTTCGGCCATACGCTCGGAAACCAGCCGGCGGACCTCCAGCCGCTGCGCATACTGCCGCTCGTCGAGCCGGGCCTCCAGCTCGGCCACGCGTGCCTTGAGCGCTTGTGACTCCTTCTCGGCATGTGCAGTCACACGGGCGGCCTTGGCCTCAGCCAATGAGAGCCGGTCCTGCAGCCGCAGAATGTACGCCTCACGCTCACGCGCGAGCGCAGCCTCACGCTCACGCTCGCGCTTCCGCTCTGGGGACGCGCTCATGCACTTGACAGTAACAGATACTGTTGACGGGAGCTGGGTAGTTGTAGTGGCGTGGTGTGCTCTTGCACTTGCACTTGCCTGCTCCCCCCGACACACGCTCAACCACCTCGTGGCTGCCTTTGCAAAGAATAATTGCCCGCACGAGGCGATGAAACGGCATTGGTGAAAATTATTTGCGCGCGCTGTCAGTAAAAAAGTTTTGGATTACGTGGGTATGCCACCGGGACTTTGTGAGTAATGGTGAAGCTTGTCTATTTTTTTAGGTGCAGTCGCGCGAACACGAAAGCGTTCCCGACTAGGGGAAGGGAGGGGAAGGCGGCGGGGGTGACGGCATACATCCCACTTTCACACCATTTGTACAACGTACTTCTCCGTGCAACAACTGAGAGGTTTCGACAGCATGCGTGATTGTGGCTTGTGGATGGGAAGCGCTGTTGTGGCTGTGGTGGCTGCGGTGGCGCTTGTCACCCTCCTCCCGCCTGTTGCTGGTGTCGCCATTTCCTGCGAGCCAGTGCCAGCGACGCTGACCCAAATTGGCCTTGTCGACCAGGGCAACAAGCTTGTGACGGGCTTTATCGACGCCGACCCATTTGAGGACGTGGCGGTCATCTCGGGCACTTCAGGCAATCTGGTCTGGTTCCGTAACACCGACTCGTTTGGTTGGTCGTCGGCCATCACCATCTCGACCGGCCGGTTTGTGCTCCCCGACTTTCTGGCTGGCTTTGACTCGGGCGGCGAGGGTCTGCTCGATCTGGCGGCGGCGTCCGACTCGCCGTCCGACGCTGCGGTCGACTTTTACCGCAACACCGGAGGAGCGTTCGTCCGAGTTGAGGTGGTTCCACCGGGTGCCTCGTCGTATGGCCGGTTCACCTTTCTCATCATGGCCGATTTTACCGGCAACACGCTTGGCGACATTGCGGTGGTCGACCAGGACGCAGGAACGCCGACGATCATCTACTTTGAGCAGACGGCCGTCGACACGTTTGCGGCCGGAGTTTCGATCATTGCGTCCCCGGCGCTGCTCGACAGGCCGGGGGCGATGGCAGCGGTGGACATCGACGGCGACACAGACTTTGACCTCGTGGTGGCAACCCACCATTCCGCGCCGAACAACGTGTACTGGCTGAAGAATACGGGAAGCGGGTTTGAGGACGGAGTCCAGCCGGTGGCGTCCAACGTGGCGCTCCTTGACAAGTCGACCTCGCTTGCGGTAGCCGACTTTGACGGCGACACCTTTGAAGACGTGGTGGTGACAAGTGAGGACAACGCGGTGCTCTGGATTCGCGGAGGCAGCGCGACAGGTACGACGTGGGATGCACCGCGGATCATCAGCACCACGTACTTTGACACGCCGGTGCAGGTCGTGGTTGGTGATATTGATGCTGACGGAGATCTGGACATTGCAATTGCGGCCCAGGGAAACAACATTGCAGCGTGGGTGCCGAACAACTACAACGGTGGCGTCGGCTCGGTGGAGAACATGTGGGCCACGCCGCGGACGATTGCCAAGTGCGACGGGTGCCAGACGCTCGCGCTGTTCGACTTTAACGTGGACGGACAGCTCGACGTTGCGGTGGCCGACCGGGCGCAAGACAAGGTGCTCTTTGCGCGCAACTCGCCGATCGATGTGCTGGGCAACACATTGCTCGACATTGCGAGCGAGACGCCCGAGACGATGGAGTCGCATGACTTTGACGGCGACGGCGATCAGGACTACCTTGTCACGACTGACTCGACCAACACGGTCAAGTGGATCGAGAACACTGATGGCGTGGGCGGCACCTTTACGGCACGGGCGCTCGACACGACGTTCGCAGGAGTAAGCCGGGCGGCGGCGGCCGATCTGGATCTCGACGGCGACATTGACATCCTTGCGGTCTCGCCCTCGCTCAACAGGGTGGTGTACGGGATCAACGCCGGCTCCGGCTCGTTTGCGGCGGTTGTGGCGTCTGGATGGACCGGGACTGCACTGTACTCGCCTGGCCTGGCGGTCAGCGTTGTTGCGCCGGTCGACATCGACACCGACGCTGACGTAGATCTTGTCGGCTCGTCGGCGACCGAGCTGTTCTTTGTCCGAAACTTGTTTGTGGAGTGGGACAACGGGACAATTGGGTTCTCGGCGCGGACCGTGATTGACACCTTTGTGCAGTTGGCCGAGTTTGAAGTGGCGCCGATGAACAGCGACGAGTGGCCGGACATTGTGACGGCCGACAAGACGACTGGGGCGGTCCACATCTATCTTGGCTCTTCGTCGGGCGGGTTTACGGCGGGCCTCTCTGTGGCTGCTTCGACAGCGGCGCAGCCTGTGGCTTTTGTCTACGCTATTGCGCTCATTGACGCCGACAAGGACGGCGATCTCGACATTGCATGTGCTGGGATCGACGCTGGCTTTGTGCTGCTGGAAAACTACGGCAATGCCGTGTTTGACCCGTCAAACGCGGGGCGGACCAACTTTTCCTCCATTGTGGCCAGAGACTATGACGTCGGCATGATTGTGACCGACTACGACGGTGATGGCAACGACGACATTGTGTACCGCGGGCGGTTTGAGCCCGGGTTCCTTGGCTTTTTCCAGGGTGTCGGTGATGGTACATTCGCGACGCAGGCTGTCTCTTCGGGCTCGTTTCAGATTTCGCTCTCGACTGGGGTAGACTTTAACCAGGACGGTGCTGTTGACGGTGTGGCTGAGTATCTGGGAACTCTTGGGTGGTTCCCAGGCACAACGCTGTTCCGAGTGCTTGACGCGGTCTCGCCCAAGACGATGACGCTGACGCCAGCGACGCTCGGGTCGACGCTGGCACGACTGACGTACTTTATCGGTCTCGCCTCGGGGTGTGCTTCCGACATGATTGTTCTCCCTCCTAATGCTGCGCTGTACGGGTGCTTTGACGCCGGCCCGTACCCGCTGTACAAGTCGATGGTGATTGACGGCAACGGAGCGACGATTGACTGCCGGCTTGGGACCGGCGGCGGGTTGTTTGATGTCCGCGAGGGCGCCGTCGTTACGCTTCGCAACATGACGATCATCGGAGCTCGGGCGACCAAGGGCTCACCCAGCGGGCCGGCCGGCATCCGTGTGACCGGCAGTGGCTCGACGTTGGTAATGGAGGATGTGGTGGTCCGTGACGGATCGGCCGTTCCGATCACCGGTGCAGTGTTCCAGCTCAACCGCGGGCACGGCGGCGGCGTGCTGGTAGAGAGCGGCGGGAGCCTGGTGGCGCGGCGGAGCAGATTTGAGAACAACGTGGCTAGTAGCGGCGGCGGCGGCGTTGCGGCGGTCGGCTCGAATGTGGCCATCGAGATGGAGGACGTGGTGCTGACCGGCAACGCTGCGACAGGTGGGTCTGGTGGCGGCATCCTGTTGCAAACCAACGCGGCGGGGACAGCGCGGGTGGCGCTTACCCGGGTGACGCTTTCAGGCAACTCTGCAGGCGGGACCGGATCTGGCGGCGGGCTGACGGTCTCGTGTATTGCGGCGTCATCCTGCGAGGTGGTCCTGGTTGACTGCCGCGTGGCCGGCAACTCTGCCTCTGCAGCCGGCGGTGGCGTACTGCTTGTTGGCACACGTGTGAGCAGTGAGCTGAACACGACGGTGATCGAGTCGAATGCCGCCGGATACGGCGGCGGGCTTGCGGTGCTTGCTGTGCCGGACACGGTGCCTGCGGGCGCGACAGCGTCGTCGCTTGTAGCCGAGGGCGTGGCGGCGTCGGGAGTGAGCGGGATGACGCGGATTGTCGGGACTGGCTCTGCGTTGCGGAGTAACGTTGCTGTGCTTGGTGGAGCACTACTTGTGTGCTCAGTGCCTGTCGAGTTTGCGGACGTGCGGGGATCGTCGCTGGATGTGTCGGGCAACTCGGCGAGTGTGGGTGGCGGTGCGGTCTTTGCCTGCCTCCCGCCCGGCTCGCTGGCGGCAGGAGCCACAGCGCGGCTTATACCGAGCGCACTCCCGTGGCTCAAGTTGTACGATCCGGCGTCCGGGACGTTTAGGAGCGTCGACGAGGTGTTTGGCACGTTTTCTGGCGGCGGCGCGCTGTATGGGCAAGTGCTTGCGTCGCCGCCGCACGTCCTCGAGTGGACATCGTCGGGCAGCGCCGAGTCGCCGGTGCTGACGCGGTCGTCAGGCCTCGAGCTCGGCAATGCTGCTCGGATCTCGCCGGTGGACGTGTTTGGACAGGCGGTGATCGACCCGGGGATTACGGTGCAGCTCGATCTTGTGACACCAGCGACGGGTTTCCAGCTCTCTGGTGGCGACCGGGCCAAGCCGATGGAGAGCTCATCTGTAGTCTCGTTTGTGGACGTGACCGTGGAAGGCCTTGGCGGCGGCGTTCTCGAGGGCGCGCCACAGGTGACAGTCCACGCAACGGTGTCGCCTGCGCGTGTGAGTCCTGTGGGCGTGCTGCGGGCAAACATCTCTGCATGCGTGCCTGGATTCGGGCGACGGTCGCTCGACGGAGCGCCAATTGTGTGCGGGATTTGTTTGGAGGGTACCTATTCTGCAGATGTCTCGATCGCGCCGTGCGTGTCGTGCGACGACGGCGCATCCAACTTTGGCAATGGGGCGACGAGCTGTGACTCATGCCCGGCCGGGACCGAGCGCGACTTGTCTGCGCTCAACACAACAGACGTGACGCCGGATGGGCGGATTGACCTGCCTTGCACATGCTCGCCGGGCTTTTACTCGCCGCAAGGAAAGGTGGACGTGGCGTGTGTGGCGTGCCCCGAGGGCGGAGTGTGCGACGGAAAGCTCAAGCCGCCGTACGCGCAGCCTGGGTTCTACCCTGGTGAGGGCGGGGTGTTTGTGAGTTGCAAGCTGGCCGAGGCGTGCGCGGGAGATGGGCGGTGCAGCGTCGGGTACGATGCGCAGCTGTGTGCCGACTGTGCGAGCGGGTACTACAAGCTGAGCGACAAGTGCCACAAGTGTGCCAACACGACTGCGTTTGTGCTTATTGCGATGATTGTACTCGCGTTTGTGCTTGTCTTTGCGCTCATCTACTTCAACACGCGCAAGGCACTGAGCTACCGGTTTGCGGCGGCGATGATTGGGCTCAACTCGCTGCAGATCTCTGCGATCTACGGGCGGATTGCGCTGGACTGGGGCGAGTTTGCGAACGCGTGGTTTTCTGCGATTTCGTTCCTCAACCTCAACTTTGATCTTGCGGCACCCGAGTGCGCGTCTGAGGGAGTGGACGTGTATATGCTCAAGTGGTGGGGCACGATGCTCCTTCCGGTCATGTTCTGCATTCCGTTTGGCGTTGTGGGCTCGCTGTGGTATGTGTACATCCGCAAGCGGGGCGGGCAGCGCGAGGCAGCAGCTGTGGCGCGCTACGAAGCGTCGGGATGCAACATGGATGAAGATGGCGAGGCGAGCGAGCCGCTGACAGTGGAGGCGCTGAAGGACGCGATGGTGCGGTCGTTCTATCAGCTTCTTGTACTGCTGTATCTGCCGCTGACCGGGATGTGCATGTCGTACTTTGGATGCAACAAGGGTTCCGACGGAAGGTGGGCGCTGGATGTGGCACCGTCGCGGACGTGCTTCACCAGCTCGTACTGGGCAGTCTTTCCGTTTGCGGTCCTCTTTTTCGGCTTGTACTGCCTAGCGATCCCACTGGGCATTTTCATGCTGCTGTACAAACGGAACGCGGCTGCGCAGGAGGACGCGGCGATGGGACTCATTGTGTTCCAGCTCCGATACGGGTTCCTTGTGGCGCGGTTCCAGGAGCAGCAGTACTACTTTGAGACGTTTATCATGCTCCGCAAGTTTGGCGTTGTAGCGATGAGCACCTTTTTCTACTCGGCAGTGTCCAAGGCGGATGCGGCGCTAGTGGTGCTGGGGGCGTCGTTCCTCCAGCTCTGTCTTTTGCAGCCGTACCTCTCTAGGTTCCACAACATTCTTGCGATGGTGTGTCTCGGCTCGTGCGCAGCAGTGCTCGAGGGCGGAACGATCGAGGACGGAGTCTTCCGCGGGATTGTGGTGGTGACGGCGATTGTGGTCAACACGCTGGCGATTTTCGTGGGCAACGGCATCGACCTGTGGCTAATGCGCAAGTCTGAGGCTGAGGCCGAGGACGAGTTTTACGAGTCAGGCCAGTTCCGGGTTGCCGGCGACGCGGCGGTGGTCGACGACAAGTACACGCAGGCCGAGGCCGAGGGCCGGATGACGACGGACACGGAGCTGCACACGATCAACGGCAACGGCGGCGGAGCGATGCACACGATCGGCGTGGCCGACTCACCGGGTGGCTCGTCGGGCTCGTCAGCGGTGGCGTCGTTTGGCGGCTCGGCGGGTGGTGGCATGGAGTCTGCTGCGTACGGCTCCGCGTTTGACACGGCGGCGCTGGCGACACCGGGCTCGATTGTGATGACCGGAGACGCCAGTGTGGGCGGCGGTGGGCAGGTCCAGGCTATGCCGTCGCCTGTGCCGCGCAACCCGCTGTTTGCGTCGATGATGGAGCAGGGGTGAGGGCTTGCGCTACGTGGCAGGATTTCATTGCTTACATGAAAAAGTCGTCGTCGCCGCCGTCGTCGCCCATGTAGGGGTCGTCCATAAAGTCCGAGGTGGTCTTGTTGGCGCGCATCTTGAGGGCGACGCCGCCCTTCTTCTTCTTGGCCTTCTTGGCAGACTTCTTGTCCTCCTTCTGCTTCTCGTTGGCGATGGCGTTGAGGGTGCGCGAGAGCGAGCGGATGTCTGCAACCTTCATGTCGCCGGTGGCGGAGCGGATGAGCTTCTCCATGCAGACGAGGTAGTGGGTGGACGAGCTAAACTCTGTGAGCTTGTCGGCGACACGAGCGGCAAAGTCGTTAAAGTCGGTGACAGACGACGGCTTCATGGCGTCAATGGAGTCGGGCCCGACGCCGGTCTCGACCTCCTTGTACACCGTCTCGACGGGGCCGGCGGCGACGACGCCAGCAAAAGTGTCGAGGGTGTGGGCAAAGTCGGACTCCTCCTCGAGCTGGCGGCGGCGGGCCTTTTCGGCGGCGATGGCATCTGCGCGCTTGGCGAAGCCAAATCCGTCTTCGTCGTCGCCCTCTGCCCCGATGCCCATGCCCTCGTTGCCGACCGCGTGCGGGTCGTAGTCGGGCAGATCGACAGTGCCGTACTCCTTCTTCTTCTTGTCGCCCTTGCCCTTGCCCTTCTTGCCCTTCTTCCCCAGCGCGTTCTTGCCCTTCTTCTTCCCGCCGACTCGACCGTACGCCGGCGCCGAGCTCGTCTTGCTCTTGTCAGCGCCGCTCTTGCCCTCGCCCTCACCGTCGCTCGACGAGTCGTCCCACGCGTCCTTGGTGTCCGAGCCCGAGCCTGAAGACTCGCCCCAAGCCGCGCCACCGGTACCTGCACCGACCTGCGCCTGCGGTGGCATATCCCCCGTCTTTGTCGCCTCCTTGACCTCGTTGTTGTCGCCCGAGTTGGACGAAGACACTGCAGGGAGGGAGA